ATCAAGAGTATATATATTTGTCCAATCTATGAACAACATGTGACGTTTAGTGGTCCTCAACGTCACATGTTGTTCATAGGATTCAAATTGCTTACAACCGATATGGAAAAGCACTCTGTTCCAGGACATATGTTACATTTCACATACAGATGCTTGCCTTTTATCTCTTTGAGAGAAAAAAATAATATCTGTACCTCCACTTAACTTTTTGGTGAAAGAGGTTACAGCAGAGCTACTGCTTTATAACAACAGTTAAATAGTTTAAGATCCACTAGTAAGACCATGAAACCAATTAACTGTAGGTTTAGGTTACATTTTACCTACATGCTGAAGAAAAATTAAATGGAATGAATAGGAGGGTATCATGAAATAACAGCAACCTACGTGTTATTTTATCATCGGCAGTGTTAATTTAAGTAAGTTTTTTTTAAGAAAAATAATTCTTCCATTGTTTATATTAGAAGTATGACACCATTTCCACAGTCTGTTTCATCACATCAGGCTTTACCAGGAACTGCACATGTGTGAGGACAGTGTTATTGTAAAATGTGAATCATACTGTTCCAGTCAGTCATCAGCAATTTTCCCTCTAAGCGTGTGTGTGCATGTGAGCAATCGCGCACTGCTGACATGGACTCCCCACACAGAAAATCTGCGCTGCGCACAAAAACAAAATCCAGCCTGAATTGGAATTAAAGTAAACACATGTATTTATTTTATGTCGCTGATTTTCTGTGCGTGGAGTGTCAGCAGTGCGATTGCTCACTCGCTCAGCTTAGAGGGAACAGTGGTCATCAGTGTGTCTCTGCACAGCTGTAATTAAAATGTGTTCAGAGGGCCTCAGTGTCTGAATGGTTCCAGTTCAGCTCCATAACAGCAGCGTCCCTGGTTTGATTCCTGTGTTTCAGCTCATATCTGCCTCTCTCACTGAGGGGGATGTCCACTACATGGAAATGGATTTGTTCATCAACCAAACTACAGATCACTGAGAGCAGAGGAAACTTGAGTTTGTTATGTGTGTGCATATATGACTGTCTAAAGGCAGGTTGGATACATATTCTGCTGTCTTTTTAAAACACTGCTTATTTTTTATATTGCACAGGTTTTTATGTCTGCTGGTCATTATGTTTAACACATCTTAGTTATGAGACAGGCAAACTGACAGGCAGATTTTAAAAGCTGTCTACCGATATAAGGTGAAATAATGTTAGCATTTGTACCTTTACATGAAAACAAAGGTGAGTCTCCTACCACTGTTGGGGACTCATTATTTCTTGTGCCAATAAGAACAAACCACAGACTCAGAGGAAGAGGGCGGGCTTTACTTGGTGTCAGTGACAGAAATGAAAAAAGCTCAAATGAGTGAGAAGGACGATGAAGGAAACATCTGTGCTGTGTCTGCTCTGTAAGTAGAATCTCTGTGTTTCTTTGAATTCTTGGACTTTGACTGTCTGCTCTCCTGATAACTGATGATGGAGGAAAAGACATGAAAAACAAATCAGGCTGAATTCAAGTTCAAAACACCATGAGGACCAACTGCAGGTCTGAACTGACTCTTTATCTTTGCTCAGGAGTCGAGGAAACACAGCAGGCAGTGAAAAGATCAAATCATTTTATTTTTCTTACACAATTTCCTTTTTTTTTTTTTACGTCTAAACCTCTTCCTGCGGGAAGGAAATATGTAATCAGTTCTGTTAATTTCTGTTGTCTGTCTGTCTTTGTTAGCAAATTAGCATTCACGATTTTTCAACAAAATTTTTCAAGATAATATTTACAAATTATTTACCAAAATTTACAAAAACATGTAATGATAGATACCAATAACAGCTCAAGCTGATTTCATTTTAGTAAAAATTGCTCTCAAGGTCACACTGATATATATATATGTATATATATATATATATATATATATATATATATATATATATATATATATATATATATATATATATATATATATATATTATATAGAATCCTGACATTCCTTCACTGTCCAAATGTGTTTAACTTTTTTTGGCAGCAATAAACATGACAGTTTACTTATTTTAATTTAAGACATGTTTTATTTTAATTACGTTTAAAACTTTTTTTTATCTAATGTAAAATTATATTTTGTTTTAATTTACTTTCAAATTCTTCAGTTGCTGAATGGGCTGCATAGTTTTCATAAATTGCATAGTTCAGAATAGCTATAATTGTACCAGATGGTTGCATTCAATTAAGTTGGACTAGACTGTAATACAAACCGTTCAGTTTGTCAACAATAAAACTGACTGAAATGAAAGAATGACTGAGTGCGAGACTTTGATATTAGATAAAATGAATATTGATGAAGTTTACCTTTATGTACAGAATCTGAATATCGCAGAATATTTTTAAAAAATTGCAATAATATCGTATCGTGGGATATATGGTGATTCCCACCTCTAATGTATATATATATATAAATATTTGCCAAGGCTCACCAGACATTTGATTTTAATTGTTAGCGCCCAATGTCAAAGTCATGATTGCTGATTATTTTTAAAATATGAAAGAGCATGGAGGAAGTTTTACAACACAATTAACACTTTGATTTGATTTGATATACCTTTATTAGTCCCACAAGGGGAAATTTCATAAGGCTGCCGACCTATTGCACGCAATGGCGGCGCCATCTTACCCTCCGACCATACATACATTACACAAACATCACATGGGGAAGACAGGTCAGAGAGGTATAACAATGGAAAATGCACCACATGAGGAAAGATAAGGAGAAAAAAATAACTCCCCCCAGACTGAGCTCCAACAGGGAGATCAGTTTGAGAACAGAAAAAAACACCTCTGCACAAAGCACATGAAAAAACTCTTAATACACCAAAGAAACACATGACAAGCAACAGGGGTGGGTAAAGGGTGCAGCATCAGAAGGGAATAAGCGTCGAAGGCGTTTGGAAAGGGAGGGGGGATGAGTGTGTGCATATCAGTGTATGTGTGCGTGTCCATAGTTCAGCTGAGACAGTGTCCTTCACCCTGCCAGGCTAAGTAAACAGTCTTCCAGCCAACCCAGGTGGCCTTGCATGGAATGGGAAGGAACAGACTAAACACAGTCGTTATCAGGGTGTTGTTGTTCAGCTCCAGCCTTGCAGCTGGCGCCAAAGGGGGTATCTGCATAAGTGATGGTATTTTTTACTTTAGTGTGAACAGCTCATATGAATTTCAAAGCAGTTCTACAGTCTAACACTAGCTTTGCCATGCTTGCGTTCTATGATGTTGTCATTTCTTGTGCTCAAGGAGCTGATTTCTGAGAACTCACGGCGGTGTGCCTCCCCGAGATGTCATCCAATTTGCGCCCAGAGATGTTATTCCGAGCTAGCCCTTCCGAGATGTATCCAGTCTGCAGTCAGAGATCTTATTCTGAGTATTCAAAGCAGCCGTAGCCTCTCCAAGGTCTTATCTGTACTGACTCAATGAGCCCATTTTGAGAAACTCACGCCTCTCCCATCGTTCCAATCCCAGCGAGCAGCCTTGTGGGGGTTTGAACAGCCGGTTCCGCTTCCTTAATTCTTCGATAAGTCAGGGCCAAGCCAGCTCCGATCAGCCAGAACCCTGTTACCATGGTTCAGAATAGGTAGATATCTTCAGCACTCAGGCTCACCCAAGCCCAGACTTCTCGTTGAGAAAGGGGTGTCAATTGCATTTAGGGACCAGTTGATCAAATCCACAATTCCTCTTTTACGTTTTAGAGAACAGACTGTAAAAAAACAACATGAGACTAGACAAGGACATAAGAGGCTAAGCAGGGAAGCTAAGGGAGAGGAGAAAAGTTATGAGTACAATACCCTATGACGTCACAAAGACACCAAAAAATTTCACAAACGCAATCTTAAAACTCATTTTTTTTACAGATTATTTTACAGAAAATGTCTTATAACATCAACATTTTAGTTTAGCTCTCAGAGGTGAGTTATTGACAATTTGCAGGCATCAAAACAGAAAATGAGCAGATACGTGAGAGAGATGAGTTTGTGTGTTTGTCAGCTGTTTGTGTGGAGTTGTTCTTTATGTTCACCTCAAATCAACCTGAGTGTCATTTCTCTTTAGTTCTGATCTCACTGCTGAGCTGCACAACAAACCAAGGTCAGTAACCTTCTTCTGTCACAGTTTAAACCTGAGAAATGTTCACTGATATGACCTGATTGGGTTCATGTTTCAGAATGGAGCTCACATATAAAACTGAAAAAAAAAAAGTTTGATGAGATAAATCTTCCTGCAAAATACCATTTTAAAATGGTTTTGACAAAAATCTCACAGTGATCATCAGTTTTTCATTGTAACCCTCACAGATCGTCTGACTGTGAGTCCCAGCAGCTCTCAGTTCTTTGAAGGAGACTTTGTGTCTCTGAGCTGTGAGGAGGACGACAGCTCTGCTGGATGGACTCTGAGGAGAAACACAAGCAGACGACAAAGGACTCAGTGTGCAGATGGGTGGGGAAAACCAGCTGGTTTGACCTGTAACATCACTGTTTTCCCATTGGACAGTGGAGTTTACTGGTGTGAGTCCAGAGAGGGTCCCATCAGTAACATGGTTAACCTGACAGTCACTGGTAAGCTGAGTGTGTGGAGTTAGTGTTGATGAAGCTGTGTGTAAATGGATGAAATGCTGTAGTTTGTCTCTGTGTTGAGGTGGATCAGTGATCCTGCAGAGTCCTGTCCTCCCTGTGATGGAGGGAGATGACGTCACTCTGCTCTGTAAAACAAAGACCACTCCCTCCAACCTCCCAGCTGCTTTCTATAAAGATGGCTCCCTCATCAGGAAGCAGCCTACAGGTCACATGACCATCCAGCATGTTTCCAGGTCTGATGAAGGCCTCTACAAGTGTGACATCAGCGGTCATGGAGAGTCTAATTCCAGCTGGATCACTGTCACAGGTGACACACTCACCTGTCTGTGTTTCTGCAGCTTTCAACATTCACAATGTGACGACAACTTAATGACTGTGTTTGCTTTATTTTAGGGGAACACACCACCTCTCCTACTGTTCTCTCTGTGTTGTCATCTGTTCGATCAGTCTGTGTTCTGGTTCTACTGGTGTTACTGGTTCTGCTGGTGAGACGATATGTTCACAAGAAACCCGAAGGTGAGATATTAAATATGTGCTTTAACTGAAGCATTTATTATCACTACATGTCTTAAATACACAATGGTTAGAATATATAAATATGGGAAATTTTTCTCACATTACATTTTTTTCTAAAAATTTAAATTTAATCTAAAAGATTAAAACAAAGATTCAGAGAATAATGTCACAGACAACATCATGTAGAGCAACAACACATCAAATAGTGAAAAACAGCCGATTTAAAACAGTTCTGTCACAGTCTGGCGAGAGCAGACTGTAAGTATTGTGAAGAGTGGACCCAAAATGCAGACACCAAGGAACTTGGATCAAAACTTGAGTATCAACAAAAAGCGAGCCGTTTAATGAGGCTGGCAGAAAAGGTACAAATAAAGGGCAAGGCAAACAGAAATAAAACTAACATTAACCTAAACTGGGAGAACTAAACAAACAACATGGAAAAACCTGGACATGAAACCTAGAAACATGGCATGGAGAACATGGCGTGAACAACAGACGACCTGACAATCACACACTGAAAACAGAGGACTTAAATACACAGGAGGTGATTAGGGGAAGTGGAGACACATGAGGAAACAGCTGGCACACATGAACATAATGACGTCACAGTGGGAGAGTAAAACTGAACATGATGAACACAGAACACCAGACCTCTTCACAATAAAACAGGAAACATAATGAGACATAGACATGACAACCCGAACTTGACAACGTAAGACACAGACATGAAACGCATAAAGAGCAGGGGAGATTTAACATGGTTGGAAACACGAGGGGAAAATAATAACTAGAAACACTTAGGCATAATAATACAAACTTGATAACAAATGACACGCAGCATGAAACACGAAGGTTGAGGGGAAACTTAAATACAGGGGAAGAAAACACAAGGAGTCTAATAACCAAATGAACTTAGATAACCTAATGAACAAAATAAACTCAAACTTAAAACGCTGGGTCAAAAGACCCAGGATCATGACAAGTACCACAGTAATACTGTGAGACGCTAGCTGTTTTGCCATTAGTGTAGATGTTGGGTATCCAAGAGTCCACATTTCCCACATGCTCTTTATGTTACACCTTCCACTCGAGTTACTTATGTTGTAGCATTGAACAGAGGCCTCTTCTCATCCCTTGTCCTGTGCCTTCCTATTACAGTAGCCAACCTCTCATCAGTGTGTCCTGGTTTCTCAACACCTGACACAGCTCTTGGTAATGCGGGTGACGCCCAAGCTGGTATGGCTTCTGTTATCTGTCTCTTGTTCATACCTCAGGTAGGTTCGGTTAGCATGGGGGGAACTATCATAGGGAACCTTACTGGAAACAGACACCCTGGTCGGGAGTCTGAAACTTCAAAGGCGAGTTGTGTTAACAGTACACTATCCAGCTGCATATATACATATATACACAAATGTGTTTTAGGAAGAATAAAATATCTCAGACCTGTTTAGTTCAACTGTTGCAGATCTACAGGTTTTGTGACTTTTGACGGAGCCATAATTGAGCATTAAATCTCTCAGCAGAGTTGACTATTATTTAGTTCGTATCAGGTAGACTTTACTATCACCACGATGTCTAAAGAAACAGACTCTTCACAGTTAATCATTCATTGATACAATGAAGTATTTTTACTTCTTTCTGTATGAGAAACCACAGAAATGACTTCCTTTTGTTGACACCAGTTAACTGTAGTCTGAGACTGATCAGACCTCTCACCACAGTGTGTCCTGGTTTGGCTAACAGAAGTGTTCATGTTGTTAGAACAAGTTTGCTTTGTGCTCTGTGGTGAAGCGTCTCAGTCTGCATTAAAAGAAAATAGCAGCTTTGTGGTCTTTTGACTTCTATTCTCACTGCTTTCTGGCAACATGTTTTTCAGCAGAGGTGGTAAGAAAGGGGAAAAACAACTGTGAAAACCCACATCTGTGTATAAAAGCTATCATTCTGCCTAACCCGAAATAAAACCGTACTGCCGCAGCTATAGTGTAATAATAACACAATACTGTCATCATTGTACATGCAATAATTTCTGTTTGTTTCATTGTGCAGAGAGTGATTCAACTGTAATCTACTCAACAGTGAGAACACAACCCATCAATTATGAACAAGTAACGATCACAACACACAGGACCAGAGGTACAGCTACTCCTGTTTTTTAACTTTGGATGCAGCCAAGTGAGCTACTTGTGTCTGATTTCAGTCTTTATGTTAATGTAAGCTAATCTTGACCCAAGTTCACGATATCAAACTGCCCATCTCCCCGAAAGGAAACAGTTTTCTAGTTTTTTAGAACAATTGAGTTGGTCGGTTTACAAGTCTGAAGTGACACCACTCAATCAGCCAGTGAACAGAGCAAAGAGAAAGAGAGACAGAAAAGGTGGAATTATATGGCTTTTGTCATTTAATGTCATTTAATGCTGTTTATAAGCTAATTGCTACAGATCTGTGGGATTCAGGTTTGACCTTTGTGAATTGCTTCAACCTTTTATGAAGCAGTCGTAAATGAGCTGGTTCCCGGTAACGTCTGAAGTGGGACTGTGTGATGCAGAAAGGTGGTGATTGGAGGTCTTGATTTAACTGCAAAGCTTGTAACAATGTTTCCTGTTTGTACTGTTTCTGTTTGTGTTCAGACTTTAAACCAGAGCCAGACGTCATCTACTCTTTACTACCATTCCAGCAGAAGTAGTCCACCAGTCCAACCACTGATGTCCAGCTGCTGGTCTCTAACTGGTCCCCGCAGTACCTCAAACCAGAAGACATCCACATGTTACCTGTATCTTCTTTGTCCAATTATTTCGCCATTTCAAATTGGATGTATTCTGAGCAGAGTTTTAAACGTGGACTTAAAATCACCAATAATAATATAATGGTTTCTGTTGCTCTCATAGTAGTGATCTGTTTTCTATGTTAGATTAATAAAACGTTTTTCTAATTTGTTTTCTTCGTGTGGTTCTGTGGGTTTTACTGAGACCTCATATGGAAAATTGGACTTATCCCAGTTTAGTTGTGGCTAACACTCAGTTTATTTAAATCCAGGTTGAAGACCCACCTATTCTCAGCTGCATTTGAATAAAACACTAAATACACACTTTTAAGCTTAAATTACAAAACTTACATTTAACTACTGATTTTATCTACTGTTCTGATTTTATCTACTGTGTTTTTTTTAAATAAATTTTAAGTCATGCTTTTTATTTTTTTAAATGTCTCTGTAAGGCACTTTGAATCATCTTCTTGTTGAATTGTGCTATATAAATACATTTTCCTTGCCTTTCCTTGCCTACTATCCTTGGAAAGGTAAAATGATTGGCTAGAATCCAAAGTGTATGACATCTTAGGGACAAAAAAGTATAATGTGCGCTGCTTTTCGGTCTGGTTACCCTTTATATCAGAACCATGATGCCATAATGGCACCGGATACCGGTTCCCATCCCTAGTGCTGATGCAGCAGATCAGGAGGGTGACCACGTGGAAAGTGTCATGGTCCTGGGCCATGTTGGCCCAGTATTCTTAGTTTTCTTGTATTTTTGTATTTTGTTCCTTAGGCCATGTTTCCTGAGTTGCCCTGTTGTGTTGTTCCCTAAGTGTTTCCCCTTCATGGCTTTTACCCCCTGTGTGCCCCTCTGTGTATCTGTGAGCCCTCGTCTCTCCTTATGTTTTATTCCATGTTTCCCCTGCCCGTTATGTCTGTGTTTTCCCCGTGCTCTCTCTCCTCCTGTCTGAACCTCTGTACTTCCTGTTTGACTCTGCCCGTCTCCCGTCAGTGTTATGTTCACCCCGCCCTGTCTCGTTATGGTTATCTGTGTCAGCTGTGTTCCCACTTTCCTCGTTAACCCTCTGTGTATTTCTGTCTGCGTTCTCCCTCATGCTGCGTGGATTTCCCTGTGTCTCTCTCCCCCCGAGTGTTAGTTTACTTTTCCCAGTTTAGTTTTGTATTTTCCTACGTTCTGCCTCTTCAGCAATAAAGCTGTTTTTTGAGTTCATCCCCTGAGTCTGTGAGTTTTGCGATTGGGTCCTCATCCTGCCTGCCACACAGCGACCATGACAGAAAGAGGCAGTGGCAATGGAATGACTGGTCACACTTGGACTGCTTGGTTAGCGGCTGGCGGCGACATGGGTGGGTACGAAGACCGTCAGTTGGCTTGGCTGGCAGTGTTAATGTGACCTCTAGGGTAGTTCGGTGGGTTTCTGTGGACGGGCTGTCTTGACAGGCCCCAGATGAAGTCCTGCCAGACGTGGACGTGGTTTGGCTGTAGGACCATACAAGGCAGGACCAGATGGCGGCGTGGCAGCCGCAGACAAAAGCATGGAAGCTGCTGGTGGTGGCTGAACGGACTCCCCAGAGCTATCAGCGGACATGGGGAGGTACTGGACAAGCTCTCCAGAAACCCCAGCTGACGAGGCATGAAGATTGTGTTTGTCTTTCTTTACTTTATTTCCTTAAAACATCTTACAGCCTATAAAGTCTGTGTGGTCTCCCACTTCCTTGTCACATCCTTAGAGCTGGGTAGTGACATTCTGTACATATAACAGGTCTAAAATAAAAACTTTTGTTCAAAGGAAAAATAGACAGGCATTTTGAAAGGTTTTTACAGAGACAAAGTTAAATGTTTCTCTACACGTGTTTCTTTACATTACAAAAAAAGTGGGTCCCTCACCCCTGTGGTGTATTCATTATGTCTTGTACCAATAACAAGAAACCACAGACTCAGAGGAAGAGGGCGGGCTTTACTTGGTGTCAGTGTCAGAAAAAAAGCTCAAATGAGTGAGAAGGACGATGAAGGAAACATCTGTGCTGTGTCTGCTCTGTAAGTAGAATCTCTGTGTTTGTTTGAATTCTTGTACTTTGACTGTCTGCTCTCCTGATAACTGATGATGGAGGAGAAGACATGAAAAACAAATCAGGCTGAATTCAAGTTCAAACACCACGAGGACCAACTGCAGGTCTGAACTGACTATATTTTTAATCACTGATTTCCAGAAATCAGTGATTACAAGCATATTGCGATTCCCTGACTTACTCTTCTTAACGGGTCCAACAAAATCCATTCCGAGGCGCTCAAATGGGGTACCAATAATAGGCAGTGGTTGGAGTGGAGCTTTGGAAGGGACTTTGGAGGATGTCATTTGGCACTGAGGACAGCTCTTACAGAAGTAGGCTACATCTCTGTGGAGGCCAGGCCAGAAAAAATGTTGTTTAATGCGAGCTGTGGTTTTGTGCTTACCAAGGTGGCCAGCCCAGGGAAAAGACTGTCCCAAATTAAGCACTGTCTCTCTAACTTCTTGGGGGACCACTAGCTTCAGAAGTGAGCCCACCTGATGGTAAAGTATGCCATTTTGCAAGACACAGTCACTTTTGTTAATGCCTGCCTCCTCTACTTTGTCTTTCTCTATCGCTCGCTGAAAAAAGAAAGCTAAACTAGGATCAGTTTTTTGCAACTCTATTAAATTGACAGGAATTTGAAGTCGCAAAGCACTTCAAATTCCTTCAATGCACGGGCGACAGATCTGGTTGACATTCCTGCTGTCAGCATGCCAGTTGCACGCTCCCTCATTGCTTGTGGCATCTGTGGCATTTTGCTGTGAGACAAAACTGCACATTCCAGGGTGGCCTTTTGTTGTGGGCAGTCTGAGGTACACCTGTGCACTACTCATGATGTCAGATCGGCATCCTTATGTGGCACACCTGTGAGGTGGGATGGATTATCTCAATATAGCAGATGTGCCCACTACCACACATTTGGACTGATTTGTGACCACTGTTTGGGAGGGATGGTTATATTGTGTATCTGGAATGAATTTTAGGTCTCTACGTCCATCCCATGGGGAATGGGAGCAGTAACAAAGGTGTTGCGTTTATATTTTTGTTGAGTGTACTTAGCAGGCCAAAAAAAGAGGTCAACTTAATATAACTCTACGGAAAGTAATTTCCAGAAACTTAAACAAAACAAAGTGACCTGATTACAAAGACAAACGAGGGTAGCTTTTATAATGATTTGGCCAAAACATTTACACACAATAGGGGGGAAAAACAAAAAAACCAAAAACACAATATTAACTAAGCACAGAATAATCTAACTAAACCATTTATCAGCTGGTGATAAATGTTTTCTACTGGCCACTCAAATGCTTTTCATTCTCCCTCATGGTGAAGTCTTTAAGAGGATGGATGTGGATGGACCTTCCACCATTTAAACACTTTTTTTTTTTTTTTAAATTCAAACTTGGCATCAAATAGAAAATGAGCAGATATATAAGAGAGATAAGTTTGTGTGTTTGTCAGCTGTTTGTGTGGAGTTGTTCTTTATGTTCACCTCAAATCAGCATGAGTGTCATTTCTCTTTAGTTTTGATCTCACTGCTGAGCTGCACAACAAACCAAGGTCAGTAACCTTCTTCTGTCACAGTTTAAACCTGAGAAATGCTCACTGATATGACCTGATTGGGTTCATGTTTCACAATGGATCTCACATATAAAACTGGTGAAATGAACAATTAAATGTTCCTTGAACATTTCTTACAGCATGTAGCATGATCAGTTTATAATTTTAACCCCCACAGCTCGACTGACTGTGAGTCCCAGCAGCTCTCAGTTCTTTAAAAGAGACTTTGTGTCTCTGAGCTGTGAGGAGGACGACAGCTCTGCTGGATGGACTCTGAGGAGAAACACAAGCAGACGACAAAGGACTCAGTGTGGAGATGGATGGGAACATCTGCTAAGTCTTCCTGTAACATCAGTATAACAGCACCACATGACAGTGGAGTTTACTGGTGTGAGTCCAGAGAGGGTCCCATCAGTAACATGGTTAACCTGACAGTCACTGGTAAGCTGAGTGTGTGGAGTTAGTGTTGATGAAGCTGTGTGTAAATGGATGAAATGCTGTAGTTTGTGTCTGTGTTGAGGTGGATCAGTGATTCTGCAGAGTCCTGTCCTCCCTGTGATGGAGGGAGATGACGTCACTCTGCTCTGTAAAACAAAGACCACTCCCTCCAACCTCCCAGCTGCTTTCTATAAAGATGGCTCCCTCATCAGGAAGCAGCCTACAGGTCACATGACCATCCAGCATGTTTCCAGGTCTGATGAAGGCCTCTACAAGTGTGACATCAGCGGTCATGGAGAGTCTCCATCCAGCTGGATCACTGTCACAGGTGACACACTCACCTGTCTGTGTTTCTGCAGCTTTCAATATTCACAATGTGACGACAACTTAATGACTGTTTGCTTTATTTTAGACGAACACAACACCACACCTCCACCTAGATCCACCGCCATCATTCTTCCTCCATCACTATCTCCTCCTCCTCTCTCTGTGTTGTCATCTGTTGCATCAGTCTGTGTTGTGGTTCTACTGGTGTTACTGGTTCTGCTGGTGAGACAGTGTGTTCACAGGAAACCTGAAGGTGAGACTCAGACTTCCTGATCTTTCATGTCTGAGTTTGTTTAGTAGAATAAAGTTCACATTCATGATGATCACAGTAACAACTTGATTAAATGTAATCTCTGTTTAGATATTTAATTTGAAATATTTTTCATTTTGTAAAATTTCAGCAGATCAACAAGCTGGAGAAGATGACATCATCACACGTGTCATGTACCATGCTGTCAAAATACAAAGTAGAGGTATCGCTGTGTTTCCTACACTCGGTTTTTAGTGTTTTGTGTCTGTGTGTGTTTTGGGAGTAGATGTGTGGTATGTTTTATAATGTGAGGACATTCATAAATAGGTAAGGCATACTTTGCTTGAAAGTTGTAGTAACAAACATGATGGCTGCCACACTATCAAAGAGCCAATCAGCAGCTTAAACACAAAGTATATGAACATCAGAAAGTTTCAGCTTCTTTTTTATCATAGTAAGGATGGAGTTCAATATACTTATGATAACTTCCTGGATTACTTTGTGGGGAATAAATTTCTTTAGGAAAGTGATTATTAGAGGAACAGCAGCTTTTTTTCACTTGTTCTTTTCACCTCTGCAAGTTTCTGCTTAGTCTGTTTATTGTTCTAATGAAGACTTATTAGAAAATCCTTACTAGAAGACCAGCTCACACATAAAGAGTAGAAGTATAACTTGTGTGGTTTACTTTATTTTCTATGACAAAGTCATCAAACCATTCAATCAAGTTTTATCAGATGGTGTCTGGTGACTCTGCATCTGCCCTTGTTTCCCTTTCATTTAGGCAGAGGTTATAAAATAACTTCACATTTCTGCTCAGAGTCAATATAAGACTGCTGCTGAGTGTTTGACTGGAGGTAGAATTAGATTTAGTCCATGAAGACTGTTTATGACTTTGGTGATATGATGAATTTTGAGGACATTATGAAGCAGTGAGGGATGATCAGAATTGTAGAAATGCAGATTATTGTAACAGTAAAACTATTTTTGATCAAAAGCCTGAAATCGTAACAATTAAGTTCACACCTATATATACATCTGTGTCCTTTTATTAAACATTGGCTAACTTAGACGAATGTTACCATGTGTGTTTCACACTGTACTTACTGAGTGTTGTTCACTGTGAGCTGGACTGTGTGTTTGTGGTCTGTGGTTAACTGAAGCTAACAGCTCTGCAGTCGTCCAGCATCCTGTTTCTGATAGAAAGAAACACTTCAGCTGCAGGTGTTTCAACACAGAGCTGCTCATTTTAAACACAGGAAGGAACGTGGAGACATAACTTGGAAAAGCGTTTCTCTAAACTCTTCACACAGACCATCAACTCATTGATGATAACAATTCATTTCAATTTAATTTATATTGTGCCAAATCACAACAACAGTTGCCTCAAGGCACTTAACAATGGTCATGTTGTGAGAACATGTTTACTTTGAGCTCTGTGGTGAAGAGAGTCAATGTGCTTTGAAAGAGATGGCAGCTTTGTGGTTGTCCACCTTGTTATTCTCAGAAACTCTCAGCAGTTCTTTGTGGTCAGTCTGTGTTTCTCAGCAGAGCTGTTAAAAAGAAAAAGAAACTGTACAAAGGTGCTGATTTGTTTAAAGAGATGTCAGTTAAAGTTTTCATGATGCAAGATTAAAAACATTGTACTACAAATAATAATAAAATAAAGTTAGATGTAGTAGTTGTACCTAATGTGTTTTGTTTTTTTTGTTTTTTTTTTATGTATTCAGCTGCAGTCTATTCAGAAGTGAGAACTGAAGACATCACTTACCAGCCAGGAACCATCAGAACAAAGAAAGCCCAGGTAAAACTGCTCTTTACTTTAACTTTGGATAAAGGTCACTCTGCTTCCAGGCATCCTCCTAACCTAAGCTAACACAACCACAACACGATTCAAGTTCAGATCTCAGATTTGTGAAGGATATCACACTCACACTTCTCATCTCAAAAGCAAACACATAATATATAAAAACAAAAAACCTGTTCCTATAAAAAGAGACATGGACAGAAAAACGTTAGATCAGTGATAGAGGTGCTGTCCTTCTCTTGAAACAACAGTCAAGAGTTTGATGTTACATAACTTGTAAGATTTAAAGACATTTTGTAAATCTAATTGGATTGACTGACTGACTACAAACAAAAAAAGCCTCCTGATAGTCACACCTTTGGTATCCCTTTCAAAATCCTGTCACCTTGTCCTCCAGTTGTTGCATTTACAAGCAACAGCTGAAGAAAACTTGACCTCTGATCTTGACCTTGGAGGTTAATGATACTGAGATCTGAACTGATCCAAAAGTGTCAGATGTGTCTATGATATCAATTTGAAGCTCATATGCCACCCTGCTCAAATTATCAGATTCACAAAATTAGGTGTCCACACTGTCCGCCCACCAGGGTGACAACAATACCCCATCAGCCTGTTACATCTGAGAGGTAAAAACTATTTTGCACAGCAGGAAAAGCAGATTCTGACAGCAGCCTGGTACTGTTTCTATATAAGCTAATAATGATTATCCCCCAGGGTTGCAGTTTTGTGATGCTTAGCAGTATTCCTAACAGCAGAAAGGTAACAAGTTAAAATCCATGTGCTTTTGTGTGGATGTGCATGTTCTCTTGCATAGTCCAAAGACATCCATGGGTTTATTTTAATTTGTGATTTCAAACCGAACGTACGTGTGAATATGAGAGTTTGTTTCAGGTCTTTGGGTTCCAGTTTGACTTTTGGGAACTTCAAAAAGCTCTGTGATCTGAGCTGGTTCCCAGTAAAATCTGAACTGGGACTGTGTGTGATGCAGGGAGGTGGAGATTGGAGGTCTTGGTTAAACTACAAAGCTTGTAATCATGTTTCCTGTTGTTTGAACTGTGTGTGTTTGTGTTCAGATTTTAAACCAGAACCAGACGTCGTCTACTCTTCACTGAAGTAGTCCACCAGTCCATCCACTGATGTCCAGCTACTGGTCTCTAACTGGTCTCCCAGCACCTCAGACCAGAGGACATCCACATTATATTATCTTTTTTTTTCCCTATTCATGGTCACTTAACTGTTTTTTGTTTTTTTTTTTTGTTTTTTTGTTTTTTATGATTTCACATTCAAAATTCAGAGGAATATTGACTGTTAGTCAAATCAAATTAGGCAATTTGAACAGATGCAATTGGACTACATGGATATTTTTTTCTGTTGTGATTCATCACAAACATATAATAATAGGAGTCAGTCTTTTCAATGTTAAATGTTTATCTGTCTATTTATTTCTAACATCCCTGTGAAGCATTCAGTGTCACACTCAGTAGTTCAGATTAAAAGCAGAGCTGAAGTGTTAATGGCTAATAAACAACAAACTCACGAACATGTGACTCAGGATCTCAAAATCTGAACCAGCCCAGAGCTCCTCCTACTAATCTTGTCAGTGAAGCTTGAAATGGCCATAAGTCATTTAAAGTCTGCTGCCATCTACTGGTAAACTAACTTCATAATTTTCATAGATAACCATTTCAAATTACTTGTCAATTTTATAAGAAGCTATAGTTCTTCATTTTTCCCAGGCAATTCCTTCATTTGTGTCCTTAGTGAGATGACAGCTTTTTAACAACATCTCTAAAGACATGAACAAAAACTCTACTAGCTCACCTGGAGGAACGCTCTGTTGATGATGTCATATATGAATGTGCCATCCTGGAAAATGTTTCCAGTCTTACTGGACTGCAAGTACCATCTTATTAATCCAGGGCTGATAAATACACAGAATAGGCAAAAAGTGAGTTTTGTTATTTTTATTTAATGGTATTCTACATATAGCACTTTATAAAATATGCTTCATATATATATACATATATACACACACATATATACATATACATATATACATATATACAATAACAGCAGCCGTACAAGTATTAAATGGAATTGAAGAAATATAATGTCCAGTGTTGTGCAATCCACATTTGTAAGTGTCTTGTGCAGTGCAAATATGCTTAAAGTGATTTAGTGATGAAGTGATTCGATTAGATGACCACGCATCTAACCGAATTAGTGTAAACAATGTCCAGAATGTCCAGTGTGTGTGTAAGAACTGTATGTGTGGGTCAGTACTGTGTGGTGGTGTGATTGAGAGACCATATTGCCTGCGTGAAGAAGCTCCTCCTCAGTCTCTCTGTGTTGGTCTTCAGGGAGCGGAATCGCTTTCCTGACCTCAACAGAAAGAACAGTCTGTTGTTGGGATGGCTGAGGTCCTTCACGATCTTCCTGGCCTTGGTCCAGCACCGCCTGCTGTAGATTGAGTGCAGGTCAGGGAGCTTGGAGCGGATGGTGCGCTCAGCTGACCGCACAACCCTCTGTAGAGCTCGTCTGTCCTGCTTGGTGCTGTTCCCGAAACAGGTTGAGATGTTTCCCGTCAGGATGCTCTCTATGGTGCACGAGTAAAAGTTCCTGAGCACCTTGGAGTGCAGTCGGAAGTCTCTCAAGCGTCTGAGGTGGTAGAGACGCTGTCAGGCCTTTTTCACCACGGTGTTGATGTGACAGGACCATGACAGGTCCTGCGTGATGTGAACTCCGAGGTATTTGAAGCTGTCCACTCTCTCCACTGGGCACTCGTTGATGACGGGGGTCTGGTAGTTCCTCTCCTGCTTAGTGCTGAAGTCCACTATCAGCTCCTTTGTCTTACTGACGTTTAGAAGGAGGTTGTTCCTCTGGCACCAGTTCTCCAGATTCCTAATCTCCTTCAGGTAGGCCGTCTCGTTGTTATCAGAGATCAGGCCCACCACGACGGTATCGTCAGCAAACGTAATGATGGTGGTGGAGCTGGTAGTGGCCACACAGTCATATGTGTACAAAGAGTACAGCAGGGGGCTCAGAACACACCCCTGGGGGGCTTCAGTGCTGGGAGTGATGGAGGCTGAGACATGTCCGCCCATCCTTACTGCCTGTGGTCTTCCAGTTAGGAAGTTGGCGATCCACTGACACATAGATGGGCTGAGTCCCAGATGCTCCAGCTTGGTGGTGAGTGTGGAGGGAATTATGGTGTTAAATGCAGAGCTGTAGTCTATGAAGAGCATTTTAACATAATTCCCCCTTCTAGTGTCCAAGTGAGTGAGTGATGTGTGGAGGAGATGAGAGATGGCATCGTCTGTGGAACGATTTGGACGCTAAGCGAACTGTAGTGGGTCCAGTGTGTCTGGTAGTGAAGAAATGATGAAGTCTCTGACCAGGCGTTCAAAGCACTTCATCACTACTGAGGTGAGGGCTACAGGGCGATAGTCATTGAGAGAAGCAGGGTGGGGTTTCTTCGGGACAGGAACAATGATGGACTCCTTGAAGCATGTGGGGATCACAAACTGAGATAAAGAGATGTTGAATATCTCAGTGAACACAGGTGCTAGCTGGTCGCAGTCTCTGAGGATACGACTTGAGATGCCGTCTGGTCCTGCTGCTTTCCTGGTGTTCACACTCTTGAAGGTTCTCCTCACGTCATGCTCGGAGATGATGAGCACGTTTCCGGTGTTGGCAGTATCTTCCTGTCTGCGGCCGTTAGCGCCGCTAGCACTAGCATCGTTGGAGTCCTTAGCTGCAGCCTCGAAGCGAGCATAGAAGGTGTTCAGCTCATCTGCCAGGGTCACGTCCGCATTCGTCATACCGGTTGTTGGTGCTTTATAATCCGTTATTGTCCTTAGTCCCCACCACAGGCTCCTAGAGTCACTCTGTTGGAGTTGTGACTGTAGTTTCCTCCCGTAGCGCTGCTTCGCCTCTTTCACCGCCTTCCGCACGTCATATGATGCGGCTTTGTACAGGTCTAGGACTATTTGTCAGGCCTTGAGGCATCCTGTTATATTCATGAAGGCCAAATGGGGAGGAGAATGCCGTGTATTTTTTGTCGTCCTCGTGGAGTCTGACATTGTAAAACCCCGATGTGAGATCCATTGTAGAAAAAAAAAAAACATTCCCACCAAGTGCTGCGAGGGCGTCTGACTGATGAGGCAATGGATGTGCATCTTTAACTGTTCTTGCATTTAACCATCTAAAGTCATTGCATATGCGCAGGTCACCATTTGGCTTAACAACTAAGACAAGGGGGGATGAGAATTCACTCTGGGACTTACGGATTATCCCTGACTCCTCCATCTCATCTAGGGCAGTGCGAAGCTTCTCGTAATGGCATGGTGGGACCCGTCTGTATGGCAGTCTGAAGGGCTTGTCATCCACCAGGCGGATTCTGTGGAAAAAGTCAGCAACCTCACCGCAGTCCATTTTGTGCCTTGAAAAGATGGACTCATACTGCTCAACACTTAGAGCCCCCTGAGAGCAGCCATTTGGCTTTTCTACCTTTAAAACCCGCCTTCCAGCCAAATGGCTGGTAGGCTTTTAGCTAGGCTTTAGCTTCAGCCAAGTGGAAGCTAAATTGTCTAGTCATTCATATGTAAATTAGGTTGTTATCTGGGAATTCTGGAGGGGAGTGGGGGGTGTGTGAATGAGGGGGTGGGGGAGCTGCTAAAAGCTGTGAACTTCCTTTTGTGTTCGTCTTGATGCATTCTCAATCATCCAGGGAAATAAATCTCCAAAATTCACCAACTTGGAGTGTTTCAGTTTCAGCAGGGAGCTTAGCCCACACTAAATGTTCAGACAAGGGCTGCAAGGTGACGCGTCTCTTAAGCTTTGCAGTGCCAAAACTTGGAGGCATTGCTCTGCCATCACAGTCATCAGAATAGGACAGCAAAGTTGCCAAATGAGGAAAAGCATCATCCTGGGTACCAACAGTCATTTTTAACTGTGAAATAAGCCACTTTATCGCATTTCTGCCCAGAATCATGTCATCAGCCTGGCCCGGAACCACCAGAACAGGAATCACCACCTTAAAGCCATATATTGACACTGTAAGATCATACGTAGCAGAAGGTGTAACGAGGTGACCCCCACAACCAACAATGACAACGTCTTCACCTGAATGTCTCTCAATATCAGGTATCGATTGTGAAAGTTTCTCATCAACTGTTTCACTTATGGTGCACGCCATAGATCCACTGTCCACTAATGCTTTAAGAACTTGTCCACTACTAGTAGTCACTGCAGAGTAGAATAAGCTATCAGTGTTTGAGAGCCTATGCAAGCCCTGTGCAATCAGTGTTTTATTTGGTGGGACAATGCCACTGTAAGTGGAATACAAAGTGTCATAATCATTAATATCAGTCATGTCCAAGATGGGATGCTTACTTGCTGGATCTGCGCTGTCCTCCCCTCCACGCAGATCGTTCAGTTTCCCTGATGACCACTGGAAGGAGTACACTTGCCCTCTGAGCAGTTAAGTATCGAATGACCAGGTAGGTGACACAGGAAGCACAATCTGTTTTCCCGACAGTGCGTGAGTGTGGAGTGGGATCTATCTCTGCAGATGGAACATGGTGTGTCATCTAAGCCCGGTATTCTCGGCAGTCGGGCACTCTGTCGCCTGGCATTAGCTCAAGCATAGCCTGGGCCTTGAAGCAGCACCTTCTCTAGCATGCTGATCAACCTCTCAATAGGGCTTCGGAGTTGACGTCACGCCGCAATGCATTGTGGGAGCGCAGCTCCATTTTCGGGGTCTACGATCCAAACAAATACACTGTATTGGAACGGCGACTACGACAAGAAACATGCTTAAAAGCAGCTCGAAAGAAAACGGACGGTATAGAGATCGATTGCGTCCAGAGGCGAAGCAGCGGTATTTGAAAAAAATAGAGTGCATCGCAAATCTGGACCCATACGACATACGGCAGTGGAGTAAAGACCCAGACGACTTACCGCCACTGTCCTACCCCGATATCTTCACCTATCTTGTTTGTGGAGTAAGTGCTTACACTGCGAACCAGTTTCGTAATTACAAGTCACTGGAGGCGCATATCCAATTTACAAATGGCTGGGTGCAAGATTTGGCTATTTTCAAGCCGCCAAAATCTGAGTACGTCGTCATTCATACCAAGGTAAGTCAGCTGGAGTGCATCGAGTGACATAGCCATTTTCCACCCCCCACCATAATTAATGTTAAATC